ATGGACAAAGTGTCTGACATCTGTATGGGTGCTATCCCAAGCCCTCAACAGGGGCATGTCTTTCGAGATACCCATGAACTTGAGAAATGCAGAGCCGTACGATGCAGACGAGAACCTCATATACCTCGTGATATTTCGAAGTACATGTGCTTGAGGAAATATTCCATTCACCGTACCATCACGTCGAAGTTCCCCAAGTGCGTCTGACGCTGTGTAGGCACTCTTTTGATGGTAGTATGAAAGGACCAGTGATGATTGTGAATCGTTGGATGCCATGCTCCAAAGACTTGGGCTCCTACGAAGGACCCTGCGGTGACCAGCAGAAATTGGAGGAGGTGCAAGCAGACCATCATTTTGGGCTTGCTGAACCCAAGACGAATCAAATGCGGCACCACTTAGCGAAACACTCGGAGAGTGGGTTGGAGTGCCATACCCCGAATGGATGGAGTACGTATCTGTTTGAGATATCATAGAATCCCGACGACGTTCGTGGACGGAGACATAACTTGCACGAGAAGGATTGCGTGGTATAAGTTCCGCTTTCTCAATACGCTTTTGGTCCAAGGAAGAGCGCGGACTATGCATGGATTTGTTGCCAGCTTTGTTGATAGTTGATATCCTTGACTGTGGACGAGGTCTGCTCTCCGGTGGCGGTGAATCCTTGTTCCAAATATTTGAGATTGACTGACTTCCTTCTCGAAGAGCCTGTCTGAGACCAGTTTTTTTCTCGCTTGTCTGACTGGTAGTCGAAGAGTCTGACTTCCTCTTTGGTAGGACCCTTTTCGGTGTCGTAGTACTTTCACGTGAAGCGTTAGACTTATTGGTGGTCTGCGAGGAGCTGAGAGGAGCTCGTGGTCTCTTCTGATTTGCTTCGCGCTGTAGAGTTTTGATCTCTACTGGCGAGGACGGTGGTGACGCGGAAGTTGGTCGTGCCAACTTCCCTTTTTCATCTCGTAGTGCACTAGCTCGAGGTTTTGGTATGGTCTGAGGAGAAGTTCGAGATGTTTGATTGTTGGCACTTTTGAGAGGTCTTGAACGTTGCGGTGGTGGCGACTTGACTCCCGTCGTCCTCGCCTTCTTCGGCACTTGGGGAGGTTCTTTGGCTGGGACCTCGGGGGCTGGCTCCTCCTCTGACACATCAACCACAGAGACAGGTATGTCCTGAGATCCCTGAAAGGAAATGTCACCAGTCCTGGATCTCTCAAGCCTATAGACAACACGGTAGCTAGAGGCTTCGGGAGGGTCGCTTAGTATCTGACTGGTACGACGGCCTGCCTGACTACTCAATCCCTTAGTCTCAACGATCTCAGCACCTGGTAGCAAAGGTAAAGGGAATGGACGAGGTCCATCGACGTCAATGGTGACTGTTTGTGTCGATGATACCGTGTTGGAAATGGAAACGGAAGTGTCTGGAGGGAGTTTCTTGACCATTTCATCTTTGAGCTGGTCGATGACAGCTTCCTCTTCTTTAAAAGATGCGGATTGAGAACTAATGACGGCTTCTTGGAGTTTGGTAGGACTTGTGTCTCGAGATGTTGAACTGGCTGGCCTCGTGAAGACTGGTGTTCGAGTGATGCGATCTTGAATGTCAACACGTTCGCCGTCATTTAGAACAACAACATCCCAGATGATTTCTTCGGAGTCCTGCCGTCGTTTTTCTTCTTCTACCATCTTCCAGGACCACCTCTGTAGGTACGCTAGAGCACATAGACCGAGCACAAGATCCATCATACCAACAGTATCCCCATGAATGCCGGTGGCGGGATCGTGGAACTCCCGCCTGATTAGTGTGATTATGCTCGCAATGGCTCGAGAGGAATCAGTTGAGCCGAAGATCTGGTCGAGTGAAGACAGGAGTAGCTGCGATATCCCTGAAGCCATAGAGAAGGTGGTACTCGTGAAGTGAAAACCTGCACTTGTCCAAAAGACGGCCTGGGACATGGCATGGTGGAGATGCTCGAAACTTCGTTCGATGATGGATTCGGCTTCAGCGGTAGACATATCGCTTTGTGACCGCGAGAGTGTTTCTCTTCCTGCTTGCGATAGAACAGTTTCGACCATGCTGCGAGCAAGTTCCAAGGAGGATAAAGTGGTTACCTTTGCAGCACTTAGACCGTAAGATCCGGCCCTGGAACTGAGACGAATAGCTAAACATGTTGAGCGTGTTGCAAGACTAACGGCTTGAGCGACTGGAGAGGGCAGTAGTGTTCGGCCTGGTTGCGGAGGGAGGTCCTCGGCCGATATGATGCTTGAGTTATCCATGGTGAAGTGGTTGTCATTGAAGCCCGATCGTAATGGGGCCGAGGGGCGAAAGAAGGCTGGATATAACGGGATAGTTGTAGTTCAACGATACTAGCATAGACGTTGAATGTTCGTTTTTGGAATAACAATGAAGAGAGGTCTGAGTGTTTCTGGCGTATTTCGAGACGAGGTTTGAGCCAAGTTTGAGTAGTTCAACTTTAGCGTCGTGAATCCCAACACGTTGAACACTGAAGGGTGGCTACAAACGAATAACACCAATTACATGGTCGGAATGTAAATAAGAACGTGACAAAAAACTAATGGCATGTCGCTTGTGAATGTGGTTGGACGACAGGGAATAAGACAGAGACACAAGAGACACATCAAGAGATGACGAGATGTGAAACAGATTTGCATGTGATTGCATGATAAAGGAGCGTGTACCTGCCAAGACCAAGACCCGACTTGATGCTTGACAACTCATCAATTTAAATCCTTGTTCTTTTAGCGAGCATGTAGTGAGTGGTTAGTGTCTAATCGCGCTGTTGTAATTCGCCTTACGAATTGAGTTTTGTACCTGATCAGACCTCGATGTTACAGCGCTATCACAGACGGTGTCGAGAATATTCCGAAGTTGGGAGGCTTCTGATACCGATTATCAGGGTCTACTCCGTAGAGGCCATCCAATTTTGATTTTCTTAAACATTCAATCTCCTGACGCGACCCTTCATGCCTCAAAGGATAGTAAGATTACCGAGTGTCTCTAGTAAACAATCTCTTATTGGACTTGAGACGCGGATTGTTAGTGGTAAGAGGCAAAACAACGGAACTTTTGAGACACAGATCCAACGTGTAACTTATCCTTTAATGACTACTAGAGCAGAGTCCCCCAATCTGTTCATGTCATGTACCAAGCATGTGACTTGACTCACGTAAATAGAAGGGACCATCTGTCGCGACTCGACCGTTGGTGTTCCTAATCTCATTGTCGCCTGTATCGCATAAAAAACCACAGCATGCCTATAATAGCAGTTTAGATGTCGTTACTTGAATTTATGCAATAAACTCGCCACGAGAGTTTGCTCCACGTTTCTATCCGGATGATAGATAAGACAGAAACTGTCCGTTCATCCCGTATAAGTGAACCACGGAATGACTTCGTAACAGCTTCATCGCCCTCCACCAATACCACAATCTTGGTCCCCAACTGACTCCTTCACTCCCATCCAATCAAATACTTCGGTTCCGTGGTCTAGTTGGTTATGGCATCTCGTTAACACCGAGAAGGTCCCCGGTTCGATCCCGGGCGGAACCACTCTTTTTGCTTGCGCTCCTTTTCAAGTGTCGGGATCGCCTTGAGGCTGTGACTCGCCGACCCCTGAGCGATGATGGTAAATCGTCCCCGATATAGAACCAGTGGGGGGCACTAAACACAAAAAGGTACGGGAAAGGACAAGCCAAGCTCAGCTCAAGGCTCCGCCCATTCTGTTCTGAAACGGAAAAAGACGAAACTACTCCCAGATCTTACATCGATAATATCTCAACATCTTACGTATTCTTTTGAGTATCTCTCTCTTCATTTGCTCTGTTTGAACATCTCTCAAGGTCGTCTTTTTGTTGAGACATCTCCCCGTGCCCCTCGATAAACACCCCGCCAAACACAATAATCCCCCGCCAAATAGACACCGACACCGCCATGGCTCAAGACGGCATGTTCAGCGCCAACCTCCTCTCCTCAGAGGTCAGCGCCGCTCTCCCCGAGGGTTATACTCTGCGCGCTCTGCGAAAGTCAGACTTCAACAGCGGTTTCCTCGACTGTCTGCGTGTCTTGACCACCGTTGGCGACATCACCGAAGCCGACTTCGCCAAGCAGTACGATGACATGCTCGCTGCTGGCAGTTACTACGTTATCATCATTGAGGACACTTCGCGAGGCGACAAGCCTGTTGTCGGAACTGGCGCCTTGATCACTGAGCGCAAGTTGTAAGTCAATGGTCCTCGCTGTCTGCTAGACAACCACTAACAATCCGTAGCATTCACAGCCTGGGCGCCGTGGGCCACATCGAAGATATCGCCGTCGCAAAGGACCAGCAAGGCAAAAAGCTCGGTCTCCGAATCATCCAAGCCCTCGACCACATCGCCGAGCAAGTCGGCTGCTACAAGAGCATCCTCGACTGCAGCGAAGCCAACGAGGGTTTCTACGTCAAGTGTGGCTTCCGAAGAGCAGGCCTCCAGATGGCCCATTACTATGAGGGCTCAAAGGGTAAATCCCAGTGATTTCATTAAGCAATTCTACGATATTATGAAATGCGTATGTGTATGCGTGGCGCATCCGCATGTTTCCCTATGTTATCGTTTGTGTGCGTTGCACAGAGGCTGATGCGGTTTCGCATGGCGCAGGAAGCAAAATCTAAAGAGGATACTATATTGGGCGGGCTTAGAGGTAGATATGGACGGGAGAATATAGACGACATTTCTTGCACTGCTTGTACATTTGCCGAGCGACGGAACGAGTGAGATCTTGCGGGTACCCCGAGACATTCGGAGGAAATCCATGTAAGCTGCTGTATGACAAGAATCATCAGCTGAGTGAGGTTCCATATTCGGCTTCCGATTCGAAGCACATGTAAATGACCGAAAGGTTTGCGCATAAAACCTGCTCGTATGTCACATTGTTAGCTACAATCACCCAGCCCAACATCTTCAGTCTCGCCCAGTTCTCTAAAGTCTTTTCGTCGAAATCCTCAAGTCATATCAAGATGTCCGACGAGCTGAGCCACTCCTTCATCAAAGTCCGAATTGCGGCCTTGCAATTGCTGTAAGTGATAACTACCACTGTAGAATCCTGGTTAAGTTGGTTACTATAGTGTTCGATCCAAGCATCCTGATGCTTTCCATATTGCTAGACACCTCACAAAACGAGTCACAACTTTCATCGACCCAAGCGGTTCCCTTCGTTTGGCCAGACGAAGACTTGTTCGCGCCCGTCGCTAATCACCCGCCACTCCGACTTTGCAAAACGCCAAAGATATTATATTATGATCTATTTTCAAGCTTGCTCTAGAGACCGCCTTCGGGCGAATCATTTATCGGCCCATCCAACCACCATCAACAACCAACACATGCCCACTTACATATCCACTGGCCTTACTCGCCAGATACACAGCTGTACCCTTGAAATCATCCGGTGAACCCCAGTTACCAGCGGGAATTCTTGAAGTAATAGAAGCAAGACGCTCTGGGTTGGCGAGAAGTGCCTCGTTCATGTCGGTAGCGATGTAACCGGGAGCAATGGCGTTGACAGTGATGCCCCTTGAGGTCCACTCGTTGGCGAAACTCTTGGTGACTTGGCCTACCGCACCCTTGGAGGCGGCGTAGGCGGGGACAGTGAAACCGCCCTGGAAGGTGAGGAGGGAGGCGAAGTTGATGATGCTGCCGCGACGGCCGGTGATGGGAGAGGGTTCGAGGTTGAGCATGTGGGCGCCGACGTCGCGGCAGAGGGTGAAGACGGAGTTGAGGTTTACTTGGATGACCTGTAGCTCGTTAGATGTGTTATGACACAAGAATTGGTCTTTCATACCTCGTTGAAGTCGCTGTCAGGGAAGACTTCACAAGGATGTCGTCGCTGAATACCAGCGCAGTTCACCAAAATGCGAATCTGATGTCCATCAGCCAGCACCTTAGGCACAAGTCCAGCAACAGATTCTTGCGACGATAGATCGGCAGTGTAGATGAAAGCCTTTCGGCCAAGCTTCTCGATGGACTCTTTTGTCGATTGTGATGTGGTATCTCGCTGTATGTCCAGTCAGTCTCGAGTTCTGGCCTCATCATGAGACGTTCCGTACCTGAACAAGAATAATATCGGCACCAGCTTCAGCGAGACCAATTGCTACGGCCTGGCCGATACCGCGCGTACCACCTGTTACGAGAGCAGTTTGGCCCTCAAGGGAGAAGAAAGAAGCAGACATTTTGAGATATTAGTTGTTGACGTCGTGAGCAATTGGTGATGTTTTTTGTTTTATTTGACGAGGGGCAGTTCAGTTCCACCATGAGATGATGGGTACTACGCTATTAATGACCGAGGGGTAAGCTTCTGAGCTCCGACTTAGGAAGAGCCGGATTGGTTCTAATTAGGTGAATTGGACCGGACTAGAACTGACCAATTGATTAACTGTTCGTAATGCAGGTTTACTTTACTCTGTAGGTTTACATTCAACCGGCTTGTGAAGGTCGGAGAGAAGGCCGAAGACGAGCTCTGGATCCCCGCAGAGAGGTGATGCTATTCTGTAGGTATGATGAGATATGTACAAACTGGTAGCTTGTAGCTCTCTGCAATACAGGCCTAGCATATACGCATTACAGATGTTTACTGACTGTTCAAAGACAAAACATCTCATATGAGACAAAGCTGATGTCTTTCTCTCATCCAGCTCATGAGTCGGTCAACATTTCCTCCCTGGGTTTCTCCAACATCTCCAAAACATGGAGTGGATCGTCCTAAACCCAACGGCTCAGTCTTTAGCGCTTCACCCCGCGGGATACAGGGCAGTGGGGGCACGCTAGCACTGGCTCTACCACTGCGGATAAAGATTCTCTCTTCTTTTTTTTGCTGTCATGGGGGCATTGCACGTCATGGGACGTCTCGTCGCGGGGCATTTCAATGCTATCGTGGGGCGCCTTTTCCGAGGTCAAGTTCATCTCGGTCCTCTCTCCGCGATATTCGCTTGAGAATCAATTAGGGGATTGTAGTCTGTAGCTTCTGTCCAATCCGATATTTGGTCGACATCTGCCCTGGCTTGAATGTCCTTGTTTGGTTGCGCCCTTTACTAACCCACTTCTCGCTCTCGTCGTGATCCATGATCTCCCAATAACTTTTGCATCTGTAACATTGACCATTTCCTGCATATTTCTGTCGCAATAGTTCATCAACTACTCAATTGCTCTTCTTTAATCGTTCCCCTTCATCATATCAGCACTTTCGCCTCTCTCATACCTTCATCATGGCAACTGAGCGTGTCAAGGCCTCCGTCCTCCATGGCGAGAAGGATCTCCGTCTGGTAAATGCCATTACTCAATTACATTCAAGATCGTAGACTGACTCAATTGACAGGAAGAACGTGAACTTCCCGCACCCTCAAGCAACGAAGTCCAAGTCGCCGTCAAGTCAACCGGCCTCTGCGGCTCCGATCTTCACTACTACAACCACTTCCGCAACGGCGACATCATCGTTCGCGAACCTCTTACCCTCGGCCATGAGTCCGCGGGCACAGTCGTAGCCGTCGGATCAGAAGTTACACATCTCAAGCTTGGCGATCACGTCGCTCTCGAGGTTGGTCTTCCTTGTGAGGCCTGTGAGCTCTGCGGTGAGGGCCGTTACAACATTTGCCGTGGAATGAAGTTCCGCAGCTCAGCAAAGGCCAATCCTCATGCGCAGGGAACTCTACAGGAGAGAATTAACCACCCTGCTAAGTGGTGCCACAAGTAAGACAATCCAAACTTTGTGAAGTGAGAAATGTACTGACTTCTGCTCAGAATGCCTGAACATGTCACTCTCGATCTCGGCGCTCTCGTTGAACCTCTCTCAGTCGCAATGCACGCCCGTGATCGCGCCGCTCTCCCCAAGGGCTCGACGGTCCTCGTTCTCGGCGCCGGTGCCGTCGGTCTTCTCGCAGCCGCTGTCGCAAAGGCCGACCAAGCAAAGACCGTCATCATTGCCGATATCCTCAAGGACCGTCTTGACTTTGCCATCAACAACGGTTTCGCCGATGCTTCAGTAGTTGTCCCCATGGAGCGCCCACAAACTATCGAAGACAAGCTCGCCTTTGCCCAGAAGGTCGCTGCGATGGTGAAGGAGACACAGGTCAACGGAGAGGCTGTCGGTGAGGTTACTGCTGTGTACGAGTGCACTGGTGTCGAGACATGTGTGCAAACAGCTATTTACGCTACCAAGCCTGGAGGCAAGGTCATGATCATTGGCATGGGAACTCCCGTCCTCACCATCCCCATGTCGGCTGCTGCTCTTCGCGAAGTCGACATCGTGGGTGTCTTCCGTTACGCCAACACATACAAGGAGATCATTGAGCTATTGGCCAACCCTCCTGCCAACATGCCTGACGTGAGCCGTCTAGTCACTCAAAGATACAACGGCATGGAGAACATTGAGGAAGCTTTCAAGATGGCTGGTAAGGTGAGGGATGAGCAAGGCAACCTTGTTATCAAGGTTGTAGTGGACTTTGACGAAAAATGACTAAAAGGTCGGTTGTAATTTAATAACAATTGAGGGAGTTGGCAGTGAGGGTTTATGAATGGGGTGAAAGGCGTGTTGTGTGGGGTCTTGAGGATTATAGATACCTAGTTTCTGGCAAAATGATGAGATCTTGGAATAAGTTAATACTGCATCTCGATCCTTCTCGCTACTGTACGTGACATGTCTAACTGATGAGTTAACGTACCTATGGACGACGGTTTTGGAAGAGCTGTATACACAACAACCACAAAGTCTTGCACCAAGATGCAAACGAATTAATCAGTTCAGAATTTTCAGTCCAGACTCGCAGATGTGGCATCGCAGATACCATCGTAGTCCAAGATAGGAGCATCTCACAGGTGTTCTTATGACCTGGTCCTCGAAGCATCATGGCTACGATACTTCGATGCAATCACTAGCACATTGAGCAACGTCGAATATTCATGAGTTGAACTTTTTCTATTCATGAAGCCAAGTTGAGCTTCTGATCTATTATAGATGCAATATCATTCAATGCCGCTTTTCATCATATCTCATCTTTATTCCCAATATCATGTAACTATAGCCGGCCTTTGATTCATGACTTGTCGGGGAAACCGAAGTCAATGCCAAAGGGAGGGTAGACATATCGCTTGACTTCACCCTTCTTGACAAGGTCCTCGGAGTAGTCGTTCAGAGCCTTCATATCCTCGTCGTCGAGGTCGACAATGGTCTTGTTGGCGGTGATGCGCTCGGGGGTGACTGACTTGGCGAGGACGGTGCTTCCACGGGCAACTAGAAGACTGTTAGCAACACACTTCTCACTATCAGGTTCATGAGACTTGCCGTGGTAGCTGAGCAGGACAGTAGAGGCAGAAACACCCTTCTTCTCCGCAATCTTGACAACAGGCTTGGCAGTCATGACGGGGCCACCGGTGCTGCCAAAGGGACTGTAGGCCTCAATGTGAATGCCCTTCTCCTTGCAGAAGTCGACAATCTCCTGCTGAGGGAGACTGGGGTGGTTCTCGATCTGGTTGACGGCGGGGATGATAGTGGCATGAGGCAGAAGCTCCTCGAGGTACTTCTTGCTGTACTATACCGAGTGTTAGCTGAGGTTGGCGGACTTAAGGTGATTAACATACGTTGCAGACACCGACGCCACGGGTTTTGCCAGTAGCGGGGAGCTTCTCCATGAGCTTCCAGCCGTCGACGTGATTGTAGTCTCGGATTACATCTCGGGAACCATCAGCCTTCTTGGGGAACTTGTCGTCGTTACCCTCGGGGTTCAGGAGAAGAGGCCAGTGCTATAACGGCTTAGCATACAAATTCAAGAGATATTTCGAGTAGTAACTTACCACAAGGAAGAGGTCAACGTAGTCAAGACCAAGAGCCTTCAAGCTCTTGTCGAGACCAAGCTCAGGGCGGGTGTTGTATGTAGCCCAGACCTTGGTGACAACAAAGATATCCTCACGCTTGACGCCAGCCTCGAAAGCAGCCTTGAGGCCAGCACCAACCTCCTCTTCGTTTCCGTAGCAGTAGGCGCAGTCGATCAGCTTGTAACCATCCTTGAGAGCATATGTGACGGCCTTCTCAACCTCGCCAGCGGGAGACTGCCAGGTACCTACAAGCAACAAGAATCAGTCAATTGAGCTATTGAGGATTAAAACATGTGAAAACAACGCACCGAGACCAAGGGCAGGAATCTCCTGGCCAGTGTTGAGCTTGAAGGAAGAGGGAGCCATTGTGTGAATCTTGTACAAGAGGGGGTATCGTGAAGAAGATGAGAGAGATCTAGAACAAAACACAAGAGAAGAAGCTCGTACAGAAGCGGGAGACGTGCAGGTTATAAACCGCTGCCGCATCATGAACATGGCCCAATGCCCCTCATGCCTACGTAGCTTGATCTGCCGAGCTACTCTATTACAGCACCTTATTCTTGGATAAAACAAGCCCCCCCCCCCCCAATGTACACGCTCATCTTTGCGGGGTGAACCCCGCCAAAGCGCTAGGCATGTCACCGAGCTCGAGGGGCATTTTGCCTCTTAGAGCAAGTTTGGGGTGTAGTTTACACGGAAAAGCGCTGATCGATGGAGATTTCTCGGGGTGGGGTTGCTCCGAGGGCTCGAGATGGTGAGTTGAAGCTAACTTGGAGTGGTAGAGAGGTCGGTGAGAACTCCGGCCGACGATGCCCCCAAAGGTTGAAAGACGCTGTTACCCTTTCTGAGAACGCCAGGAAATGTCTACACTCGACCATATGCTAGGGAAGTGAGTAGGAAAAGTTGAAGGGCCGATGGCCGACTCTGCCTCTTTATATATCCTATACTGATGATGCTATACCGGCTACATCACATATCCCTGCCGTGATGTACACTCCCATCAACGTGGGGGTTGCTTCTGAAGTCAAGTGCCAGAAGCCATGAGGCCAATCACGAACAATTTCAATCTGGTCCCGGAATCGCCTGATACTTGGTCACTCAGTATGTAAGTCTATGCAATTGAGGATCTACTGATTCATTATTAATCCTGAAACCCCCAACATGAGCCATGGACGAGAGTCATCCTGTAAGACTCTTTCTCTCTATGCTACGTCGTTCCGGTCCATCTCTTCTAAGAAAAAACGACTACAAAGTATAAGGTACAAACATACGTACATATGGAAAAGAAGTGCACCTATCGAATAGTACCCCATTACAACAAAACATGTGCCGTAAACTCCCTTCCTTGGTCCAAGTTTTCCGCGCCCGCCTCTTTTTCTCGTGTCTTGTGTTGTGTTGCGTCTCGTCGTCAAGATTTAGCCCGAAACAAGAACCCAGATCCTACAGTTTGTTAGTGACTGCTAATCACCCTTGGCCGTAGTCTTGGTAGTGTCCTGGAGACGGAAGTTGAACTTACAGGAAGAAGATCATTAGTGTTCCAAACATTTTGGCAATCAGCATTCTGTTGCTTGATACTCGGTTCCAGTACTTGAGGAGTTCTCGCTGTGCTCCTTCAACGTTATCGACCACATCTTCTGTGTTGGCGTCAATGCGCTGAATCATCTCGCTCTGTTCCGAAACCATGGTGGCTAGTTGTCCGAAAATGCTGCCAAGCTCACCAATGGTCTTCTCGATGGCCTCAATCGCTTCACCACGTTGTTGGATATATGTGTTGGAGGGTTGTGCCTCTTCCATCATCAGCAGCTGTTGATCGCCAACGGGGTTGAGGGACAGGGTATCTTGAGCTCCTGGCGCGGGCGAATTGCGAGCTGGTGTTCCGTAGAGAGGAGAAGCCGACTGTTGAATCGATGGCTGAGCATGTTGCGACACAGAGGAGATAAAGTTCTCTGTTCTCGATCGCGATGCCTGGATGTTCTTGGTTCTGGCCTCAAGAACGTCCTTGAAGTTGACCGAGACGTCAGTGAGCTTGCCTTGTAGCAGGTAGACAACATTCTTGTTGTGCTCGCCCTCCTGATCGGCCTTGGGGTGTTGTTGCTTGGTGAGTGTTTGAAGAGCTCCAATTTGCTGGTTCAGAGATGAGAGATCTTGCTTGATAACGAAAGTAAGCTCGTTGATTTCCACAGGACGGTCGTCGAAAAGTGTTCGTCGCTTCGCCACTGTTTCTTAGGTTAGAACTATGAACTACGCCGGGCATTCGCGTCGCCGAGATTGGCAGATAGTACTCACATTGAGCTAGCTTTTCCAACTTGCCCATAGTCGCAGAGATGCCACGTCCAATTTCAGCAGCCTTCCGGGCGAACTCGGATCGTCTTGGGGGACCTCCAGCATGACCGTTGGCGGCATCTTTTTGCGCATCAGTCAATAGAGAACGGCGCTGAGAGCTGACTTTTGAGGAGGTTTGTTTTCGCTGTGCCTGGGCGAGTACCGACTTGAACTCGGAGGTTCGGTCTTGAATAGATGCGACAGCCATGGTGGCCAAATTAAGAGGGGTTAAGGATGAAAGCCGAGATGTCAGACTGCGGCCAGCGCGGCTTCGTGTCTCGAAACGAGTCGGGGGAATCGATGTGATAGATAGCAGCGATCAATATGCCACCTATGCGACTTTTGTTTCACTGGAGATGTGTCGAGTTGCGAATGTCGAACGTCGATGTGGAAGGGTCTGGATCAGGTCTCGGTTGGCAGCGCAGGCGGAACGGAACGTCGAGGGGTGACGCGGACGAACAAAAAGCAGGATAATTAGAAAGGAGTACTTTTTTGGTGATTCGAATCGAAGGAGTTGGTCGAGAGTGCGATGTGTAAGAGACAATTAAAGTGTCGCGAAGCCTCGGGAGTGGTACGAAATGGAGAAAAAGGCTAGAGAGAGCTAAGTTAAATGGTAGATGCGCAACAAAGAATGCCAGAGACAAATGAGGTTTGATTTGAATTGGTTGTCGCTGCGTCTGAAAGGAGATTGGACTGATTGAATGATTGGGGAACGTGTCGTGTCGTTGGCTTGTTCCAGACTGGTCCAGTTCTGGTCGAGGGGCAGGGGTCGGTTCAGTTCAGTTCAGTGCAGTCAGTTCAGTGAGTGTGATCCTCCACGCTGGCTCTTTTATCAATGCTGACCAGACAGGCTGTTATTAGATGTGTGGCTTTCCATGTGGCTGAGTCTGGAGTTGGACTTTGAGAAGATCTTGTAGCTGCAGCATCAGCAAAGAATATATTGACAAGAGAGGTAATGAAGCTTTCTTTCTATAGATAGGTACCTAAGTATGGATATGCGTTGAGTGTTTCTTCTACTAGGACCGACAGCTTCTATCACAATCACGACCTGCATGTCTACGTGGAGGGTTGAAGATTCTGTATCGCGAGTTAATCACGAGTTTTTCGAGCAAGAGATATATAATTTATATCAGTCTAAATGGTACTTGTTTAGTTCGAGATGCTTGGTACATGGAGTAACACGTTTAACCCATAGTAAGGTTCTTGATTAATTTTCCACACGACGACTGCATGCTCTCATTAGCCGCCTCTGCTACCAGCTCGTAAAGACCACCACTAAGTCTACCTCCAATTACTACCATTTCTTCGTATCAAAATTCCATCTCCGTAGCTTCTTTATAGCTCCAGTCTAAACGTTACTTCGTATATCAAATCCAATCATCTTACCTAGGTATTCTGCAATCGAGTGGAGCCTAGGGTGAGCGGGAATGACGGCATGAGCCCCTTACCTGTTACCGTGCCCTTCTGCCATTCTTTGCTAGACACACAATAACTGAGAGCTTCCATGCCATCGACTAGAGATTTGGAACACTGCACAGATGCAAGACGGCCACTGGAAGAATTGGTGGTTAGGTCAGCAATTCACAGCCTTTTCATAGTCGGCACTCGAAATCCTGGTATCCTACAAGACGTGTCATAGTCGACGTCACCTGTCCTATCAAAAGCAAGTTAATAAAGACGTTGCTGTCTTTTTATTCAAATCCATGGTAGCACATGTGCATGTGCAACTTGGAATCTGTGTTTACGTGTGACATTTGCGTTGAATGCCGTGTAAAGCTCGCATACATGATACAGCAATGAGGAGATATAAGGGGCCCAAGAAAGCCACCTGTTATGCAATGGGTTCGCAGTTCGTCATGTTGAGGCCAGTGCCGCAATGGCAAAGTTATCACGAGGTGTCAAAAGGGTTCATCCTAGTGGATGGGTGACGAGGACCGAGGCACTAAGCCCCCCTTGACCAAACAGTAAACTCTTCGACGGCCGTAATTCAGGTGATCAATCTCCAAGGCTCCAAGAACAATTACAGTACCTTCTGTGCAACATCGGAGGGGCCTAACACAGAAGGACACGCTAGCTCATGGGTATCTTGACTCGGTAGACTTGAAGCTCTTTTCTGCTTTGTCCTATCCCGAGGCGCAGACAATAGACAGTTTCCCCCGGATGAAAAGCAAGGATATGTCAAAAATAGCAATGGCCAGTTCTTGATCCATGTCTCGAAGGCTAATTGGGATAATTATCAACGTGGATTTTAATTACTTGCTCTATAAACGTCCATTCCGTGCACTAACGCGAAGACGGGAGTCCACCCAAGTTAGCAGACGATCTCGTAAATTCGTGCCAGTGAGGACCTAATAATAAAGATCTAATCATTCTAATGTTGGGTTGACTCCGCTGATAATTTCATTCCATCGATCGACCCATTTCGGTTTCTTTTTCTGTCGCTTCTGGGACTCTAGGTGGACTAGTCGTCCCCTGTATGATAACGGCTGCCATAAAGAAAAAAAAAAAATAACCCGTCGCAATATGTAATCCTCGCAGTGATCTTCCATTTCTTGGGTTTCAACGAGGCTGGGCGAACTGGGGTATCTTGATGCTCCTCTGTATTCGACTCCTTGTCTCATCTTATTAGTGGTTCAAGCTGTCCACAGCCCCCAGTCTTTAGAACAGCAAACGCCTAAAGTGCCCCATCCACCTCCGTCATCCAATCTCCAACGGGCTACCACAGCGGCGGGCAGCATAGCACTAGGCCAAAAGTGCCTGACCGCACCATTCATTCATAGGTAGGTACATTCTATCAACCAAACCATCTATCTATTTGCAGTCGCGCTCGCTCCCGACCACCACCAGAAACGTAACTCCGCCTCCTTGTTTCTATCACTCACCATCTTGTCACCATCATTCACAAGCTGTCGTTGGCATCTACTGTTTCGCCATACCCTTCTTTATTCTACTGCCTTGATCTCATTCTTCCTTCTTCTTATTGTATTGGCTCTTTTTGCTGTTTGTGTTTCTTGGCTTGCAGACCTTGTATTTTAAGCTCTTTGTCAATCTTGACCAACCGTCCGTCACCTACCGACGCATTACTTTCTCCGCCGCCGATCTTCATCGCCGAACCCGATAAATAGCCCGGTACACCTAATCCTATTGCCACGTCCTCCCAGTTCTACTGTTGCCAACGCCGCCGACCGCTGGATTTCCATCAAGCATCACGAGATCGTCCAAGAATGCTTCGATAGTCGAGTTTGGCTGAAAACCCCAAACACGACATGGATGGGACATATAATAACCCTTATGCGCAAGGGCAGTCGCAATCTCCATTGTAATTATCCTTCGCAGATATCTAAAGTTTCTCAACGTTAATCCGCAATCGCTTCTAGATCTCCCCAAACGCCTGGAGGATATCAGGTCAACGTCAACCGTACCAAGACGAGGAAATGGGTCCAAGCGCCGACTCAGAATTACGATGGTGACGACTGGGGCGCCGACGAGTTCGAGGATGACGAGCCACCGCCGCCTCCCCCGGTTCCTCGAGTAACAACAGGTCTCCGACCGGTCGGACAACGAACCGAATCATTTGGACCCTCCCCAAGATTAGCTGCCGCTGTCGCTTCCAGTTCTCGTAGCTCAAGCAACGCGCCTTCGCTACAGCTTCTGACGAACCATCCGGATGTGCCCAACCCAGGCCACCCAGAACAATTCCATAATGTTTCGTCGCCGGTTTCAGGACGAACCGGATCACCTGCTCCTTTGTCTTCAGGCCCTGGATCTTCGAAGGTGCCCAGTTATCATCAACAGCCCGACGTACGATCCTCTACCCCGCAGAGCACCGCAAGTTCCGCTGCTCGTGGTTCGCCTTCAATCCGACCCGATTTTCGCCATATAGATGATGAACGTAAATTGGGGGGTTCGCCGTTGTCCATCGCAGAGAATATCGCACCGAGACCCGATGATCGCTCTACACCCCCAGTCAATGAACCGAACCAGCCAGGATACGGTCGAGAAGATGGCCCAGCGATTGATAAGGTCCAGAAGCAGCCAACGTTTGATGCCATTCTTGCGAAGCGTGAGGAGCTTGGCTTAGGATCTCAGGGGTTGCACGATCCTCCCACTTTGGATAGCATTGCTTCCTCAGAGCCTGCTAGTCACAAGGAAGAAACTGTGATTCATTCGCCTGCAGACATAGACAGGAAGCGATTATCTGTCAGCCCGCAGCTTCCCGATGTTGCGCGTATGTCAGTATTTGGCGCTGATTTTTTCTCCTCGGGAAGCAAGTCGAGCGCTGCTGCCTCTGCCCAAGACCCGACCAAGCAAGACCAACCTTCAGTTCCCAGCCAAGCAACTGATAGCCCCGGAAATCTCGCAACTTTGGAAGAGAAGCCCAGAGAGAGTGGGGACAATACTAGCACTCCTGGACCTAACAGCAGTACCTCTCTTGCCCCTGCGAATGACCCTCGAGCTGTTCCACCTCTGCGTACACCGAGCCCGAACTCAAAGGGACTCTTCCCATCACCTAGAGAGCCTGCATCAGCCACCGACTCCAAGATTACGCCCACAGAGCCTCTGCACCCTCGACAACCGGATTACTCTCCATCAAACTACGAGCCAAATTCTGCTTTGACACAAGGATCCTTGAACACATTCAATTCGTCGCCTGTTAAGGAAAGCGATGTCTTAAGTGAGGAAATCATGAGGTCCCTTAGCCCCATTGCTCCAACACCAAGCTCTGCAGTGTCTCGACCTTTGCCTGATAATTCTCAGTCTTTGACACCAGGCGACCGAGGTGTCACTCGTAATAGCAGTTATACCCTTAGCGATTATGATAGCTATTGGGCCGATTCAAACGAGAAACCCGGGCAAGATTCAAAGATTGAAGCAGAGGTCCAAGAGAAGCCCAAGACTGAGACCTCTCCAGTTCATGAGCAGCAACAGCAACAGCAACCAATTGTCCAACCACTTTCTAGCGTCGTGGTGTCTGCCGAATCCCAGCCTACCGCTCAACCAGAGTCACCAAAGTCTGATTCACGGCGTAGATTCTCTTGGGAGGCTGGTTTCGATTCCCCACCAAAGATTCTCCCTGTCGAGCCGCCCTCTGGTACTTTCAACAACGAAGCTCCTCGCCCAGCTTCTCCTTCACCTCTAGCACCAGCGGGAGTCCCATCTCCGAAGGACGAGGCTTTAGATGTTGCCAGCCAAACTAAAGAGTCACCTCAAAATGTCGAGACTCCCAGAATCATCATCCCACCTTCTGGTGGCATTTCTCATCAAGTTTCCAAAGCCAGCACGCTACCGCCAAGCCGGCAGCCAGCTACTTTGGAGCCTCCTTCTCCCGTCTCTATCGAGAATGACGATGCTACTCCTCGAGCCGTTGACAATCGTCGTCCATCTGTTGCAGAGAATAAATCATTGACTCAGGTACCTTCAAATCTTACGTCAGCATCGCCACCCCCAGATAAGTCGACCAAAGCTCTTCCTCCCAGTCAGTTCCCTCAGACTACTCCATGGCGCGATATTATGAGCCTAGCAACACCCGTTCAAAGGACTCTCAAGTTTGAAGCGGGTTTAGCTACACACCAAGCGTGGGAGTCAGGTTTGGAGAACTGGCTGTCTAATCTGATCACCGAGCATCCCGAATACGCGAACAGAACTTCCTCCTTCTCCGGAGCCGGGGTGCCCACAAGTCAAAAGGGACACGCATCAGGTCCCAGCCTTTCTCACAATCAACAGCCGTATTACCAGCAGTATCTTAATGCAAGCTCGCCTACGACAGGGCCACCACCAGGGCGATCTCGACTTGGCGGATCCGTGCCATCCGGCACCAGCGGCTTCGGCAACTCGAGCAACCAGATTGGAACCAAGGGCAAGGAATTCATGCAGTCTGCTGGAAAGATGGGCAAGGGATTGTTTAGCAAGGGAAAGAGCAAATTGCGTGGAACTGGGGACAAGGTATTTCACTGACGCTTCTCTTTTTAGAACCTGCTGTGATGGGCTTCTTCCTCTTTTTTTTTCTCCCTCGGAGCAGGGTTATTGTTGGATTAAATCTCCTTTCGTCATGCACTTCGGGGCTGATGATCACTCTTGACCTTACCTTATGATGAGACGGGTGTATGAGATAGGAATTCTACGACGCTTGTTCCCTTTTCTCCTCCCGCATTGTCATCCATCATGATGTTGCCCATCCATCAGGCTATGTGACAAGAGTGTTTATTAATGTTTCTTTGGTTGACAGGGCGAACCAACATCTCCGGTGCAAACAAAGTTCAAAGCTGAAAGACGCGCATCGTGGGGTTTAGATCGTCTCACAAGATCCCGCGCTGATGACTCCTCCGAGAAAGACGTCGTGATCTCGAGGCCTTCGACCCAGTCGTATCATGCTCCCCAGTCCTCCCAATCTTCTAGCATGCTACAGTTTGGCTCTGTGCCATCGACTGGCGAATCAGGTAAGAGACTTGCTTCACGCGAGAGCTACGGGCCTCAGCTCTCACAAGATCCATCTGCTCCTGCTTCTACCTCTGCCTCTGCCTCTGCCTCAGCTTCTATTTCCGCTCCCGCCAGTAAAGAAAATGATGATAGATCGCAATGGTACATTCCAACTCCCATCGATGAGTCTACTTGGGATCCTTTCAAGGGAACAGACCTTGCCAAGGGTAAAGCTTCTGAGCAATCAGGAGCCATGTTTGCAAACCCAGGTCATCCTCAGGATGTTTCCAGCACCCAAATGCCATCCAGTAACCCAATGTCTGGCGGGGCTACTCCTACGCCTGCAAGCGGCGGTATTCGTATGGTGCCTCCAGAGGACCCTGCTGGCCCATCACCTCAATCGACGTCTGTTTATTCATCAGTTATCCAGGCCCCCATGACAAATGTACCTCAGACTCAAACTCCGACTCAGCCACACGATCCCCCGGCTATGGTTCAGCGTCATTCCTCTTTTGTTGGACTACCTCCCATCAGAAGAGGGTCGACTTTTGACGTAAACTCGAGATCGACGGCGACTGAACAAAGGACCACACAGCCTATCGCTGAGCATGTTTCTGCTGAGCCGGAAGACTTCGATGAGATTGCTCGTCAGCAGGGAACACTGACATCTGAGGTTACGGTCGGGTCTACATTAGTTGGGACAGATTCTATCATGGAAGAGAAGTTCAAGAAAGATGCGGATGGATCAGAGCCTCAATCACCCCCTCCGCAACAATCCCCACGCCACTCGCTGCAGCAATCGCCTCCCAGGGGACCACAGCATCCATTCCAGATGCACCCGGTCCAACCCGGGCCTATGCCACCGCAAACTCAAGGATATCAGCCTCCGACGCTACCCTTGCTTCCACCTCAGCTCATGGGTGGCAACCCCGTTCAAAGGCTTCCTCCGTCTGGTCCCTGGAAATTGGAGGAAAGCCACTTGTCTGAACCTCTTCACCGCGTTACTCCTAAGCCTCAGGCAGTCCCACCATCGGGCCAATGGAAGTTGGAAGAAAGTCACTTGGCTGAACCCCTTCATATGGTTAACAGAAACCGAGCGGGCACGAATGCCTCACAGGTTTCACAGGTCTCGCAGCGTTCACAACGTTCACAGCAGTCCCAACATGATCCTTTCTACGGCTATAACAAAGAAACTGGAGATGTTCCCCCTTCTCCATCTTCGAGCTCTACGGCTAATAGGCATCATCAACGGCAAAAACCTTCTGAAGTGCCACCTTCATCGGCCAATCGTTACCCTGGCCTCTTCCCTGGTCATCAACGACAGCCGAGCGGTTCTAAAGATGTTCATCCTGGCCCTGGATCTCAGTTCATCAGACGCTTTTCTCAGGAGGGCATCACCAGGACTGGGACGAGCGACACTACTAACGAAGACAGGGGACGTTCTAAAAAGGCCTCAGCATTGTTGAAGGACATTGGACATCGGTTCAGGAAGAGCTCGACTGAGCGACGAAGCACGCCTGTGGATCACCACAGTCAGCAGTTCCATCCTCCGCAACAACAGCAGCAACTCCACCCACCGCACGCTGACGTCCATCATGATGCGGCTTCCGTCTCAAGTGTGACGACGGACGGAACACATGACAAGAAGAAGTCGAGAGCCAGTTTCATGTTAGGCCTGAGGAGTAAGCAGAGCCGAGAACGGCTTTCAATGCCTCCCCCTCCACGCCCAGATGACAACAGGCCCGCGACATCGACGGAAGAGAGAAGAGGATCTCGGCTCAACCCTGACTTCGATCCTGCTTCAGGTCAGTATCGCCCTGCAGGTCCTCCACGCGCAGCTACTTCGAACTTGGCCAACGAGATGAGCCAATCTGCTGCTCCTCCGTCAAAGAAGCGATTCTCGGCATTCAATACCAAGGCTGCTATGACGAATGTCTTCAATCGGCCAAGCAGTGGTACATCCTCGAAGCCTGGTACACCCACCTCCTCAAGGCCGATCTCAAGTCACCTGGGAGCTCAGCAACCAGTTTCCCTGGAGCGCCCTGCTCATCCAGACTTTGAGCGAAGTAGCACTGCTGGACCTACCTTCAACCAGATCCTTCCAACTCCAACAGGTACACCGCCTGTTGATGTTAATGAGCGCCGCAAGAGACGAGGCTCGGCTGCTGGACTGATCTCCGGCCTTTTGGGACACGTCCACAAGAGCAAGGAGTCCCAGCAGGCTATGTCATCCCAGATACAACAGCCTTATGATCGCCGTGCTTCTGGTTCCCAGCTTGGTACCCCTCACCCGCCGTCCCTGCAGACACCAGGGCGAAGACCTTCGGGGCCCCAACTGACCAGCCCTGTATTTCCAGGGGGGGAGCTTGGGAGACCCCAAGGCACTGCACCGCCATTGGCTAGTCCCCAACCTCAGAGACCTCATCAATTTGGTGACCGGCAGTCGATATCTAGGGAACAATCCCCGATGTCATCTGCCCGGCCTCTATCTGGTGGGATAAGAGATAACCAGCACGCTCAAGCTGCCTACCGCAACTCACGTCCATCACCTCTGGGCTTTGGCTCTTCCACACCGGCAGGAACCCCTCCTATCGGATCTGTGACTGATTCCAGCCGCCATGGGACTCCACAGACACCTTTCAGCGTGGGACAGGGCTTCCCGGACGCGCGAGCTGGAAGAATGCGATCGATCTCACCAGCTGCGTCCGCAATCCGAAGTGCCCCAACAACCCAGACCTCCTTCAACGTTCCAAGCACGGCTCCAACCACTCAGCCGTCATTCCACCATGCGTCACAATCTTCGCAATCGCTTGACAAGCTCGCGCATGCAAAGCAGGAGGGAACTCGGATCCAACGACCAGTCACAGACTCTCCAAACATGTCCTTCAGACATGAGAATAGGGCTAGCCATGGTGCATCAGATAATGACATGCCCTTATCTCCAGTGTCGCAAATGTCCAAGACGGGCCCGCCGTCTGTATCGTCGATGGCTACTCAGAGTCCTCGTCTGAATACCACTACTTTGGCTGCTGGGAGACGACAGTCCTCCCAGCTTTCACAGCCTAACACGCCTGTTGTATCTGCAGTGTCTACTTCTCCACAACATCAGACCTTTGCCAACAGGATGGGAGTCTCACCGCCACAGCAACAACAGCAGTTTCCTTCTGGATTCCAGCAACAGCCTGTGAATGCTCAGCAACAGGCACAGCATCAGGTGAACCCTCAGCATGGTGGCTACCAGATTACTCCAGGTCAACAGTACGAGCCCAATCTCCGCCAGCCATCTGCCGGTCAGCCTTTGCCAGGCTCACACCCACAAGCCACTTCTCCTGGCCGTCCACCTATGCAGATGCAGCACTCTGGTTCAGGCCCTCCAGTCCCCCCAAAGGACGGCTCGGGTGCTTTCCAGCAACCCCAGATTGCCAATCAACCAGCTCGCCAAGCAAGTCCAGGAGCTTCGAAGTGGAAGGGTTTGAGGAATCGCATGTCGGCACAGGTTTCAAACAAGCCAGCAGCGAGTCAAGGAAAGGGCGAGAACGACAAGCTGACTGCAAGCAAGATCCTTGGGGCATTTAAACGAGGTTCCAAGGAGAATCGGCAGTCAATGGTCATTCCCGATCTGCAGGCTTATCAGAACCATGAGATGCGGCCTGTGCAGCGACAACAGCAGCCCCAGCAGCAATTTGCTGGTCAAGTTCCGCAAGGACAGACCCAGTCTCCTCGACCATCCTCGCAGGTCAGCGGCCAACCTTTCGGACAAGTGCCAACTGCTCGCCCGTCATCTCAGTTCAGCAACCAGAGCATGGGACAAGCGCAGACCAAGCGTTACTCATCAATGTTTACCAGCCCAATTATGCCACAGCAAGAGTTCCGAAGTCCTTCGGGGGCGTTCGCTTCAGGTCCCCAAGGAATGAGCCAGCCACAGCCTGGTCATCCATATCAGTCTCCTCCTCAGATGCAGGGCCAGTTCCCGCCGACACAGTCGCCACAGGCTCAATACCATTCCCCGCCCCAGCCCCACGGTCAATTCCAGTCTCCTGTCCAACAGCAGGATCACTTCCAATCACCTCCTCAAACGCAAGGCCAGTTCGTGCCTCCACCCATGCAACAAGGCCAATTCACGTCCCCCATACAGCAGCAAGGTCGATTCCAGTCTCCCGCGCAGCAACAGGGCCAATTCCCATCCCCCCCACAGCCCCAGGGTCAATGGCAGCCTCAGATGCCTTCCCCCGCTGGACAATTCCCACCATCTCAACAAAGACAGGCTTCTTATCCTGGCCAATGGCACGGCGGGGCCATTGGTCAAAGCCCAAATACGCCCTCGTCATATAGAAGTCCTCAGCACTCTCAGTTCTCATCGCAACCCCAAAGCCCGCAATATGGGTTCGCGACAGGACAAAACGTTCATGGGGAGGAATCGCCCCCTGTCCATGTTTCAACGCCTACTCAGGTTCACTCTCCTACACCAGTTCACGCCCCGTCGCCTCGTCCTTCACTGTTGAATCTGCAAGCTATGGTTGCTGCCAACCCTGAACACG